GGGCCGCCAGGTGGAAGCGGTCGGGCAAGTGCGCGGGCGGGTCGCTTCCACAGGGTCGCTGGCTTCCGCGCGCCCCGGCGCGCGGAGGTCGGTCGGGGCGCGTTCAGCGCCCCGAAGAATCTAGCGGGCAAGCTCGTCAGGGGCGTCAGCCTGCGCGCCGCCATCGGACTGCTCTGCCCGCATCGCCTGCCCCCCTTTCTGGGCTGCCGCTCCGACACTCGGCGCCCGTGCAGAGGGGGCCGCGCGGGCTGGGCGGAGTCGGCCCCCCCCTGGGGGCTGCGTTTGCAAGCGTGCGCGCGCGGGGGAACGGGCCCCAGCCAGGGGCCTCGCTGCGCGGCGGAGTGGGGGTGGCAGGGGAGGCGTCGGGAGACGCGCCCGCTGCGGCTCGCCTGCTGTGCTCAACCCCTGGCGCACCCCAGGGGCCCACGCGCGGCGGCCTTCTCTGCTTGCGCCGTTTACCAGCGGCCGCGCCTGACTCTTGCAGGGCAGGCGGCGGGGGGCTGAGAGCTCGGGCAGGGCTGCTAGGGCGGGAAACGGGTGGATCAGGGGGCAGCACCGGCGCGACGGCCGGCGCGCTGGCGCGCGGCGCAGCTCCGCTCGGGGCGGAGGCGCCGCCGCGCGGGCCCTTGAGCGGCCCTTGTCGCTGGAATCCCTCGCAAGGGAAGCCATTGTGGACAGAGCGCTGTCGTCTCCGACCGGCCCAGGCGTCGCATGCGGCTGGCTGGGGGACGCGCGGGTCGCGCACGTTCACCGACTCTAGGTAGCCGAGCAGCAAGTCCTGGCTGTACCGAGCGGGGTCGCGCCTCTTTGGCTTTGAATGTTGGTCATGCCATTGCCTGCACACGTCCCATAAGGCCACCATGCCGAGGTCCCCGGAGGGTGTCGAATGGCAACGCTGGCCGCGCAGGTAAGCAGCTGACGAGGTGAGTCAGCGCAGCGCGCTTGCCGTCCGATCCGATGCCCCTGGGGACCCGTAGACGCTGGCGAGGAACTCACTGAATAGGGGCGCGGTTCATGCCCTGGGGTCGCGGGGAGCCCCACGTCGTAAGATGGCGTCGTTGCGTCAAATTGCGACCCAGGACCTCAACGCATCCTCGAACCGGTGGCGAAGAGCCCTGGCGCGCGCCACCACGATGCAGGCGATGGATTTGTCAGCGTTGCTCTCGGAGGGCTGGGGGGGATGTAGCATTGGGCCTCCGCGCGCGAGATGCCCCCTGCCCTGAGCGTTGGACAGGGAGGCCGCTGGCGGCGCGGCGGGGCTGCTCCCGCGCACTGGCCCGCGACCCCGCCCGCCCCTTTCTCTCCAGCGGGGGGCCCGTGGCTTGCATCGGTTGGACGCGGGGCCGCCCTGCCACGACCTGTCAGGCGGGTCGAGGGGTCGCAGCGGCTGCCTCGGGTCGTGGCGAGGCGGGGGCGTCGGGGAGCGGTTGGAACGGGGGGGGTCTGTTCAAGGGCAAGGCTGTCGCGGCCCCTGGGCGCGTGGCTGGTCTCTATATAGCTGCAGAGCGCCCTGCGGCGCGGGTTCCCGCAGACCCGGCGCCGGCTCGCGCTGTCGGAAATCGCCCGCTTGGCGGTCTTGGCGGGCCGGCGGCGGGTCCGGCGGCCCTCGGGCGCCTGACTCTGGACGAGGGGGGCATCGCTCCACGCGGCGGCCAGGCAGTCGCGAGCTGCGGTGCTGCTCGGGCGGGGCGTCTGCGGGCGCAGCGCCGGGCGTTTTGGCGATGGTTTCGCCAATGACCAGGTGGAGCGGGTCCACCACTGCGAAGGGGGGCCCCCCTGGAGGTCCTCCTCGTCACTCTTCTCGTCGGCAATTGGGTCGCGGCTGGAGGGGCGCGATAAGGGCAACGGCTGCAGGGCGCGCGGGAAGCGGGCGCGCTCCCGGCCAATAGCAGCGCGGGGGACCACCACGAACCCATCCTGAGCGAGAATGGCCTCGACGCGGCTGGGTCGGGCGCCCCAGAGGTCCACATGGCACCTTGCACAGCACCAGGTCGCGTCCAGCTCCTTCGCTGCAAAGAGCTGCGCACGGTCATGGAAAGGGGGGCAAAACGTGAACGCCCGCGTCTGGGGCCCGGCCCCCAGGGCGGAAAATGAATGGGCCAGGCGGAGTCTCTCCGCATGGCTTCTCGTGGAGGGGGTCGCAACTGGGGCACTGGTCAAACCTGCGTCCCAAGAAACCACTTTCGATGTCTCGACCAAACCCGTCGTCGGCAATGCGCTGGACGGGGACGGTCGGGCGGGCGAGGGCGGGGTCATGCCGGCCACGCCGCCGCAGGAGCAGCGCCGAGAGCGGGGCGCCTGCGCGGGGAGTGTCCACGGGGGGCTCGCTGGGAGGGGGCCGAGTGCGCGGCCGCGCTGAACAGGCGCCGCGGCCGCGAGTCGGTCAGGTGAACGGCGATTCTGTCGCCAGTCAGCAGGCTGCGCAATGCCAGCAGCAGTCCTGCCCCCTCCTGTAGCATTCCTGCCAGCTGGCTGCCACAAGCTTCTTCGTCTCGGGGCCAATCCACGTTGCCCCGCTGTCCTTGCGAGGGTAGAAAGGGGCCTAGAGACACCACTCACGGGGTGGTCACCAAAATAGGCAAATGTGCAAAGCCCCACTGGACACGGCAAGATCTTTCGCAGGCAGTCGCGCTCCTGAGGGGCGACGATAGGGGGGGACTGTCATAGGGGGGGATGAATCGACCTGGAATCGGCGATACATCGCCGATAGATCGGCGGTAGGCCCCGATAGCGAAATCGCACGTTCCTGGGCGGAGTGGGGCTATTAGACCCCGATCTGCGATCAATGGGCGACTCGGGATGCCTATCCCCCCCTGTCGCTACCCCCGAGCGTGCTGGCATTCTTTCCTGGCGGTGAGCCCCTCGATGGCGACTCCCTCGGCCAGAGCGGGGCGAGCTGAGGCCACAGCAGCTCAAGATGTCACCCGGCCCGTCCCCCGGGTCCACGCGCACCAGGCTTCCGAGCTGCGTCCAGCCGTGGCGACGCGGTGGCCCCCTCGAACAGGGCTGGATCTAAACGTTGTTTGTCGTTGTGTGTTCGTTTTGTTGTTCGTTTTGCTCTACCTGTTTTCCCGTACCTCCCTGCCGAAACGAAAAACCAAAGACAGCCGAAGTCCAGCAAACAGCGTTTAGGTCCAGCCCTGCCCTCGAAGGCCAGCCACCGGTGTCTCAACTCGCCTGCCTCTGATCCTGCGCCTCGTCGTCCTCTGAAGGCGCAGGGCAAGGCGATCCCCGACATCCCCCCGACCATTTCTCCTCATCTCGGGCCGCGGCGGGGACTTGGCACCTCGGCTCGAAGGTGTCTCGCTAAACGCGTGCTCTCAAATCCGCCGACCCTGCAGTGAGGGGCGAGGATAGGGGGGGACTGGCATAGGGGGGGATGCATCGGCCTGGAATCGGCGATACATCGCCGATAGATCGGCGATAGGCCCCCGATAGCGAAACCGCACATTCATGGGCGGGGTGGGCTATCAGACCCCCATCGGCGATTAATGGGCGTAGGCGTCTTCGATAAATGTGGGGCAGTGCTCTGCCTCTTCTCCAGTCTCGAGATGCTCCTCAGCCCGTCCTGGGGGTGATCGCCGCCAGGCTTAGGTCGGGCGTGTCCCCCTACAGGCGGGTTTTGGACGAACAATAAAACAAAATCTCAAAAAAAAGCTCAAGCATACTCAACAAATAATTAGAAAAATCGTCCCCAGACTTGTTCTACTATGTTTGAATATTCCTCCCGTAGAAGGGACAGGCCCGACTTAGCGCCAGGCCCTCGTGTGCTCATCGGCCCCCTCGCCGCCCACCCGGGGCCAACCCTCGATCCCCATTCGGCGTCGGCGGGACTGGCCTCGAGGCCTCTCTGGTAAGGTTCGGTGCCGTCCTGGTCATCCAGGCACGCAGCGCTCGACGCTGCACGGCACTGCTCAGCGTTTCAGGAGGCACCTACTGAGAGGTTTTCGTCGGAAGGCTTAAACAAGATTAAGCCCAACAGGGGGGGGGGCTGTTACGCCGGAGCGGGCCTCGGACAAGCAGCATTAAACCGAATTAAACGGGATTCAGCGGGATCAGGCCGGACTAAGCGGGATTAAGCTGGATTTCGGACCAGGGCAAAATCAGAATTTGACCTCTCAGGAGTTGCATCCGAAAGTGCTTGCCGCTGGAGCAAGCAGTGAGCACGGAGCACTCTTGTGAGCATCGTGTACCCGATCCCTATCCCCACAGGCGCGGCCTGGGCCCCAGCTGGCTGACTTGCCCCCCCCCAAAGGTTGGAACAGAGGCTGCTCCATGCGGGTTTCGAGGGGCCTGTCCCCAACTGGGGTGGTGGGATGGTGGGGCTGAGATGCCATGGCCCAGCAGGGATGGGGATAGGTCGGATAGGTTCAACGATGCTCCATTTGGTCAACCCTCCAGGCTGGCCATTCATTCACAGTCATGCACAGTGCGAGACGCCGGCAGAGAATCCAGCGCACACGCGTTGTCGGCTCGCATTGCCCAGGGCCGCCCATGATCTCCGTATTTGTTAATCATGGTCCTCACGGTCATGTTGGCAGATGTCGATTGGAAAATGCGGGATTCAAGACAGACGACATTGAATATGCCGACGATACCGCTTTGATATGTTTGTCTTCTGCTTGTCTTCAAGCAATCTTGAACAGCCTGCTGACACGGGCTACCCCCCACGGACTGCTCCCAAATTGGGGTAACACCGTTGTTCTGCGCGTCGGCAGCCCGCCGCCGATCCGCGATAAGAGCGGCCAATCTATTCCAAGCGCGGAGCAGCACGTGTACCTCGGTGGTTTGCTTACGACAAGCGGTTCTGCCAAATGCGCAGTTTCCTGGAGACTCGGCGAGGCGAGGGGGGGCACGCTAGCCTTACTAAAAGCAGTATGGAGTCATTCTTCACTGAGCAGAAGTAGAAAGCAGCACGTGTCCGAGGCCTGTGTCGTTTCCAAGCTGTTGTACAGTTTAGAGACGGAGCGTCTGAGGAAAGCTGAGTTCCCCCGCAATAACTATTTCCACGTATCCTGCTTGAGGAAAACAAGAGGAATACCGCACCCGATGATCTTGAGGGTGTCCGACGGAAGTGTTTTGCAGATTGCTTCGGCACGCCCGCTGGCAGACCAGCTGGTCGCCAAGCCGTTTTGCCTATTCGGCAAGGCGGCGCTAATGCCCGACAGCAGCATTGTTCGCAGATCCGTTCTCCAACCCTCATCGATGCAGTTGGCCAGGCCCGGCGGCACAGGAGACGAGGGCGCCCACGGGTCTCCTGGGGGCGCAGAATCAGAGCTCATGCGCTCCAGCGCCGTGCGCGGGATGAAAACCATCTTACCGTCGCACTGGGCAGAGACAGCGGCACACTCAACTCGTGGAAAGCAATCGTGCGACGCGCGCCCCTCCGTGGGTAAGCTGCCGCCGGCTGTCGCTCCTCCTCCTCCTCCTCCTCCTCCTCCTCCTCCTCCTCCTCCTCCTCTTCCCTCCCTGTCCTCCCTCCGCCCCTCTTCTTGTCGCCCCCCATCCGCCAGGTAGTAAGAGTTCCCGCGAGATTGACTGGTGCAGTATTGTTGCCACGAGTAGAGCCAGCACTCGTTTCACCTTCAGCACTGCTGCCGATGTGCTGAGGGCACGGCTTTCGACTCGACTCCAGGCTGGCCGCAGGGCGTGCTGGATCGGGGGCGCGGCGAGCATCAGCGGGGACCAGCTTCTACGACGAGCCCCCGGGCTCGGCCGCGGGCTCTCGGCTCCACCGAGGCACCAAAACTCCACTACGTCAGGTTCGAGACGTGCCGACTTCGGCGTTGGTTTCTGACACCGCGGGGATCTTTCAACCTTGAACGATCGGCTGTTTCCGAAACGTCCAAATCGTTCCACATCGAACGATTCTGGGTCGCCCGCGGCGTTCAAAAATGAACGCCGCTGGCGGGGTCGCCGCCGGTCGACACGACACGAACCTACAGTTAAGAAATCCGTCATGGCCTCAGCCCGACGAATGTCGCTCGGATTCCCTTCTGGGAACCCTGGCTCCACCAGGAAAACAAATATGGCCAGCCCTGCAGGGAGGGTGGAGGGTGTGGAAAACATGGCGGGGACGAGACACAGAGATGAGAGGTGGGGCACATCATCTGCAAGGGGGGGCTGGCACGCAGACTTGCAAAGGCTGCGACTCGAGCTCAGTGGTGGTGGTGATACAGCATGGACTCGTAGGTCGGATACGGATAGAGCCTCTTATCCAACAGGCCCTCGGCATCGTCGACCAACGAACGCACCTTGGCCATCTGAGCCTTCACCTCGTCGCACAGATACTCGGCCTCTGCAACCATATCGTGAGGAACCTCAGCCAACATCTTCTCCAGCTTCTCGGTTTCGGTCTTCACCGAACCGTACAGCATCTTGCGATCGCCCAATAGGTCGTCGGCGTCCTTGTACAAGGCTAAGTCCTGTGCAAAAGCTGGAATGAATCCAGTTTTGACCATATCGACCATGGTTTTGACCTCGACGCTGAGTGTGGTATTGTAGGCCTCGTACATAACCTCAACCCTGGATTCGGTCTCCTCCTTGGAAAAGACGCCCATCTTCTCGAAGAGCTCGATGTTTTTGTCCGAGGCCCAATGCTTGATGGCCTTCGGTGTCGTGTTGAGGTTTGGGAGACCGCGCTTGGCCGCCTCGTCTGGCCACTCGGCGGAGTAGCCGTTGCCCGTGAAGATGACGTCGCGGTTCGTCTTGTACATCTCGGCCACGGCATCACGCGCCTTCATGCCGCCCTCGATCTTCTCGGAGAGCGCACTCATCCCCGCGGCCATTATCGTGTTGCAAACCATCACCGGGAAAGAGCAGTTCTGCGAGGAACCGACTGCGCGGAACTCGTAGCGGTTACCGCAGAAGGGAAAGGGCGCCGTGCGGTTGCGGTCCTCGACGTTGGACTCGACCGCCATAGACGCCTTGCAACCAGTTGGCTGCTGCTTCTTCTCGGCCTTGAATTCATTCAAGGGGCCTCCTGCGATAACGGCGTCCACGTGCGCCTCGAAGCCAGTGCCAGGGTAGAGCGAGATGATGGCCGGGGGCGCCTCCTGGGCTCCGAGGCGATGGTCATTGCCTGCGTGTGCCACAGCACATCGCAACATCTCGTTGTACTGCATGATTCCGTGGGAGAGGCAGGCCAGGGCCGCAGTGTAGATAGTGCGTGCTTCGTCTGTCTTGCCCGGGTAAAAAAAATCCGCCAGCGTGCCCCCCGGCACGTTGAGGCGTGGAAGAGTGCCAAGTGGTGTCTGGCAGGGTTTCTGTAGTCTTCTGAGGGGCCCCCCGCCTCCCTACCAACACTCGCGTGCGTGCACCGCCCCCCCTTCGCGTGGCTCCTTGGGCTGCCAGAATGCTCCCTGGCGATCTCCAAGGCGTCCCAAGCGCTCAAGATAGCTTCCATGACGGCCCGGGCAAGCCATAGAGGCCGCCAAGATGCCCCAGAATGCCTCCATGACGGCCCACACCACACATAACAAATGAGGACCTCACACCGGCTCACTAGGGCCCATATGAAAATGTTACGATGATTTCTCCATGAAGGGATATGGAAGCCGTCCTACCGCCGAACGACACAGGGTGGTTTTGCGGAAAGACAACCGATGCTGCCATACATCCCCATCGACGAACCAAGACAGGTCGCAGACAGTCCAACGAAAGCACGAAGAGTTGCCACATGTGACGACCTTCTTCCTCATCCTCCTACTCCTGCTCATATTCCGCTTCCTTTTCCTCGTTTTCATCGCCATCAGCATCATCATCGTCATCGTCATCAGCGTCAGCATTAGCATCAGCATCAGCATCAACACCATCGTCATCATCATCATCATCATCATCATCATCATCATCATCATCATCATCATCATCATCATCATCATCATCAACAACATCACAAGCATTATCATCAGCATCAGCATCGGCATCAGCTTCACCACCATCACCATCACCAGCACCAGCACCGTCGTCACG